AGTGAGACCGACGATTGGTCAAGGTGCCCCTTAAATCCTTCAGGGGCTCATTTATGTTGAAAGCTGGTGGGCACATCTCTTCATGGGTGACATGAAAAATGATAAAGATGTGTCCTCTTTTTAGCTTTGGGGGTTGTTTTTTATACTTAAGCCGTTGATGGAGTGAGGCCGACGATTGGTCAAGGCGCCCCTTAAATCCTTCAGGGGCTCATTTATGTTGATAGTTGGTGGGCACACCTCTTTGTGGGTAATATGAAAAATGATAAAGATGTGTCCTCTTTTTGGCTTTGAGGATTGTTTTTTATACTTAAGCGGTTGATGGAGTAAGGCCGACGATTGGTCAAGGTGCCCCCTTAAATCCTTCAGGGGCTCATTTTTATGTCTATAACTAGTGAGCACACTTCTTCGTGGGTGACATCAAGGAAGGACAATTGCGAGGATATCATTTATCAGGGTTGAAGCCTATCTAGGATGAGCAAGGGATGATTCCCTACGCTAGGCATCCAGAAAGAGGAAAAATGAGAACTAGATCACACCAAATGGGATTAATTATTGGGAAACCATAGAGAACATTACATATGCAGCAAAAAATAAAAATAGAAAATAATTTTTCAAAATAGACTTATTGAATTATCGTGTAAAGATCGAGAGTATAAAACTCAAAAGCGGTAAAAATCATGTAATTGCATATAGTGGTTGAGACGTTCTCACATGGGGGGAATCGTATATCCCCTAATCTATAAATCTCAGTCTGTGAATGAAAGAGCTCTCGTAAACTTCTCTCTAGCGATGATCCACACAGCGGATGTACTAACGATGCACCTCCTTGCATAGCATGTTCTTTTCTCACGTTTGTGCACCACCATATCACAACAACCAAGAGGGATTAGTCCCTCTTATTATGTTAGTCATAGGTGCCCTGCAAGTCAATTACGTGAGGAATGACACGTGTGACATAACACGTACTCTTTTTACTTATTATTTATTTAGTATTTTTTTCTCACTTTATATTACATATTGCATATATCGTGATGTCCATAGATCTGTGCAATGAGAATCGGATCATGATGAGATCACAATAATGAGACTGATTTACTTTTAAACATACACCTTAAATAATCTCGATCATAGGTCACTCAAGAAAGACATCGAGATAACTGGATAGACTAATGTATTGTATACTCATCCATATGATGAAGGTGATTGGTCTCATAATTGCTCGTGTGGGGAAACTACGGATACCGCGCAGGTGCACATTGGAGAATGAGTTCAATGATTGATCCACTCACAGAATGTTAAATAGTTGATGATACCTCATTGTCAGACAGTGATTCAGTCATCCTAATGCTATATTTGATCTTTAGACTTGAGACATCAAAGATGTCATGTATGAATACGTCACTCTTTGATACTAGACTTATAAGCTTCGAAGTTTCAGATCTAGCATAATTGGTCATCGGGAGTGGTAACCAACCTTACCAGAGCTACTGAGTATCAATAGAGGATCATCCACTCTCTATGTTATGAGAGAAATATCATATGTATTCTTGCTCAAACAAATCCTTAGATAGGGTCATTCGGATTGAGAGATAAAGAGTTCTCTACAAGAATATGATTAGAACGAGACTCGAGTAGAAACCATATGTGTCTAACAGCACTATGTCCAATATATAGTCTTTAAGATATTAGATGAATGAGGGATTATAGATATATGGTAACTGATGACAGACAGGTCTAATGGATTGGATTCCATTGTATTGTCTCGGGACTACTGCGTACTGACATAGTACATTCATAGTCGATGAGCATACTAGGTATGGCTTATGGCCAGAAGGAATTCTAATTGGTATGACTCATGACCAGCTCGATATTGGGTCTAAAGAGTCACATACATATGATAGGTGCTGTGAAAAGTAGAGATTCAAATATGAGATATCCGTTAGAAGCCTCTATCTTATTAGATATCCAATAAGCCCATGAATTATTGGATCTTATGAATAATATATAATAAGATCCAATAAGAGATTATTCGGTAGAAATATACTATTCCAAAAGGCTTGAATTGTTAGATGGAGATCCAATACCGAATAAGGCATGATCCATTAGAATTAAGTTGATAGGAGACCTCTATAAATAGGAGAACCAAAAGATAATAGACTAGAATTTCTTTTAGCTGTCACCTCCTATTCTCCTCTCTCTCTCCTCCTCAACTAACACCCCTACTTAGGGTATGTGAACAGTAAGAAGGGTCGACCCCTTCTTAATTGCTTGATGTATACAGCGAGGAGATTTGAACAGCAATTTATGGAGCATTTTCGTAGTACCTACCATGTGGATCATTGCTAGAGAGGAGAATAATTGACCTCCTTTATCCTCTCATGCAAATATATAGAAATTCAAAGATATACGATCTCCCTAGGTAACACATCCCTTAACACATATGATTTTTTATTTTTATGAGTTTTACACACTAATCTTCATATGACAATGAAATTATTTTCTGTGAAAATATGATATTTTTCTTTTTTGTTCTTCCGCTGTTCATGTGATGTTGCCCTAAGATTTTCCAACACTGTCCTCTTGCACCAAAGAGGGGGTCAATCGGTTAGAGGAAAGGGCAGGTAGGAGATAGAGGTGGCGACAATAGGGGTTCAGCCTATGATCCATTTTAGTCCCAACTCCTATTTATAAAGAACTTCCTTTAACTAACTCTAATGGATCCTTCTTTTTGGGTATTGGATCTTTATCCAATAACCCCTAGCTTAATAGATATTGGATTCACATCTAATAACCATCATAAGCTCTATTGAGTATCTCCCAAGGATCCAATAAAATAAGGGCTTATCAAATATCAAATATTCAATCATTTATTTATCACGTTATCCACCATATGCGTGTAACCCTCTATGCCCAATACTAAATTGATTGTGAGTTGCACTAGTCAGAACTCTTTCTGACTCGGTGAATTATTACCCTCATAATAATTCACTCAACTCATCGACTATAGACCTACTAGGCCATTACACAATGATCTTGAGACAATAGAAGGAGATATAATCCATTGGATCTGTTTGCCCTTAGTTATCATGTATCTATAGTCCCTCATCTATCTAATATCCTAGAGATTGTATATCGAGCATAGCGCTATCAAGCCCATACAAAATCTATCTGAGTATCACTCTAATCAGATTCTCTTAGAGAACTTCCCTCTAAATCTCAATCTCACGGTTATCGGATTTATCACGATCCGATTAACCCTAGCTAGGGATTTGCTTGAGTGAGAACATACGAGATATTCTTCTTATGATACCGAGAGTGGATATTCCTCTATTGATACTCAATTACCTTCATAAGGTTGACTATCATTCCTAATGACTATCTGTACTAGATATGAAACTTATAAACCTATAAGTCCGATATCAAAGAACAAAGTACTTAGACAAGACATCCTTGATATCACAAGTCTAAAGACCAAACAGATAACTGGGACTGTAGAATTGTTGTTTGACGATGAAGTATTATTAACCAACCAGAATCCCATAAACGGATCATTCAATAAACTCATTCTCCAATGAGCACATATACTATATCCCTAGTGTCCATACACAAGTAGCAATAAGACTAACTACCTTAATCATATGCATGGGTATATAGCACATTGGTATATCCGGTTATTTCGATGTCTCTCTCGAGTAACCTATGACCAGTAATATTTAGGATATGTGTTTATAGACTAATTAATTTTATTATCATGATCTCATCATGATCCAATTCCTATTGCATAGATCCAAGGACATCATGATATATTCATCATTAATATAAAGTTATAAAATATCATAATAACAATAATAATCAAAAAGATTATGCAACGTATATCACGTGTCATCACTCACGTGATTGTCTTGTAGGGCATCTGTAACTAGCATTAATTCCCTCTGTTATCAGGCGTGCATGCCTCCCCAAAATCAGGGTCGATAGGGTGTGATAGGTTGCTCGCAACAAGTGACTCAAAAAAGGGGAAAGTAGTGACGAGCCTTGTTGCTAAGGATTAATACATCCTACGACTAACTAGTGCAACCTTCTCGGAGACCTTGGTGGGCAAGAGCCAATGGATCGTGCTCCAACTGGCGACCACAAGGGAGGGGCATGAGTTCTTCCGCCTATGTCATTGCTATATGGCAATCCCCAAATGGGTGAGTAGGTAGTATAATGCTTACTTCATTATTTTTCCTATCAAAAAGGAAACAAGAAGAAGCGCGGAGCAACCGAGGGGGTGAGGGTCGAGCTTTTACGAGATGAGAGTTTTAAATAGAAGGTGAGGGGGATCCCTCGCTCCCTTCCTTATGGGTTTCTTGTGTGTACTCTTATATAATTACTCGTACTCATGAGGTCTAAAATGAGCATGGAGAATTCTATGCAATTTTTAGGCAAATGGAAAGATCGCTATTTATAATATATGTTCCACAATCATCATCAATTACAAAAGATAAAAAGTTCATGAAATACCACTCTTATACGAGTCATATGTCTTCTAAGTTCCAAGTAGAACGAAACATCATTATCAAACATACTACACTTTCAATGGCCTAATTACATACCTTCTATACTTGGATCCTATTAGTATTATTAGTATTATAGATCTTATATTTAAAAAAATTATATTGAGATCCTTATATTTTGAAAGTAAAGATCTTATATTTATCCTATATTTATCAACTGCATCAACGAAAAATATAATATGTGACATCACGTGTTGGGTCGACATAAAAATAATAGACAAAAAAATAATTTAAATATTTTTTTTATTTTTTTTCAAATTAAAACATCTTAGTCATTATAAAATTAAATAAAAACTTATAATTATGATTTACAAGTGAGCTTTTAAGTGAATGCTTCTCTTGACCTCTCCACGTGAAGGCTCACCACTACTTTTGGAACACCCCTCCCACCCTCACTGTAAAACCAAAACCAGTGAAAAGAGAGAGAGAGCGAGAGAAGCTGGTTTTCACCTCCCATCAGTAAAAGCATATACGCTTCTGTAGCATTAGTTTTCCTCTCAACCTTCTAACGTAACCTGTATGATTGTTTTAAATGATGTACAGGAACACAATAGACCAGGATGAGCAATACACCTTGCAAATGAAAAGATAGGCTTTGGTGTCTTTTTTTATTGTGACCAGCAGAAGCTTTCCACCATGATTTCTTTTTTTTCCTTTCTGAAAAAAATCAGAAAAGAAAAAAGGAACAACCTACAATTATCAAGATCTAGTCCGGCAAGGCCATGCAACCCTGCATCTCAAACCTTCTTCGCAATTTGGTTTTGCGGAGACAGTATTGTGGATCAGCAAGTCAGTCCGGTAGTGATTACCTGTCATCAAACCTGAATGAAAACTTCATTGTTAGACACGAGTTTATTAACACTTCGTTGATACAGGAGCTTATCAATGATAGTATTAAGCTTTGGAAAGAGCATTGAGACTGACCTGAGAGTTCCTTGATTTATGTTTTTGTAGCTCATCCTGCATGCACGCTAGCCTGCAGTGACAAGTAAATCATCTTAGCAAGCCAAGCCTTGAGACACCTTCTCAATTCATGCATAAAATGATTACCGCCACTGCAACTCAGCTATCTCCTGCATCAGCTCCTTCTCCCTATCATGAGCTGCTTCTAGCTGCAAAGGCGTAGATTCACCGGTGCAGGGGAAGACAAATAAGAACAATGTTATGTTCCCAAAAGAACGAGTAGTGCAGCCATTGCTTCAAAGAAACAAATCAGCCTAACTATATTAGTCATCGAGTACATACCAACGACTTCTCACTTATCATAGAATGCCCACATAAGGATACTCCTTCAGCCAAACGATTGGATGAAGCACCAAAAAATGGTGATGAGTCACCAGTGGTCACTTGTCTCATCAAACTAAGGATATTATCCTATGAAATGTAAGGCATAATATATAAGCTACAAGAACAGAACTGACAAAGATAATTTATGTGACCATACCCTTTGAACAATGTTTGCCTGCAAGATATAATGCAGCTGTGGCAGCATAGAACAACCAAGATTTGATGTAGCATCAGCTGGTAATTGTACGGATGGTGAAGGAAGTTGAGAAAACATCTACATAACTCAACTTCTATTAGCTGTTTGATAAAACAAAGCATCTCATGACTAGTGAGAAATTGTGTGATCCTCATATAGTTACTGACCGGAACTGGTCAATTGAATAGTTACTGCCTAGCATGATAGTCACAATTTTGACACAAATAATTACGACACTACAAATAATATCAATGAAAAGTATCAACATCTTTTTTGTTAGCCTTAACACTATTTACTACTACATGCAATGATTGAACGACACAAAACAGTTTGTGAACAGTGCTAATATCAATGAAAATGTACCATAACATGTTTAACTAGTGATAACTGCAAGCAAATATCCTTCATTTTTTTTAAGAACTAGGCTAAATGCACACATGCTTATTCCTTCCTATCCGATGTAAGGTGCGTTATAGCATCAGAAATTGCATATAATACACTTTATAGTGAATTAATTATATATAGGCAATGAGAAACATCAAGGTTTTGGTGCATTATAGCATCAGAAATTGCATATAAGACACTTTATAGTGAATTAATTATATAGAGGCAATGAGAAACATCAAGGTTTTGGTGTGATGTAACCAATTTAAGCATATTGTGTGTTGCACATCATGTTATGCTAACATCAAATTATCCCTTTGGCATTATTTTTTGGATTAAATTACTACAAAGACAATGGGAAAACACAAAATATGGGTAGGATAAAGTGCAGCCAGATGTGAGGGTGAAGACTTTGAATCGTATGACACTATGGACATTTTAGTTGCAAACAGTTATATATTGCACAATTATATAATACTTTAAGGATTTGAATTTTTATAACATTATTCACCTTTGATATCCTATATTTTCTGAAAAACATTCTAGCTAAATAGTACAACATACTAAATGGGATCTTACAACAAGAACCTAATTTTTTTTACAAAACTCCATGGAACAACTTGGAATAATAGTTATTTATTAATTATTTATGTAATTGTTTCTTGCACACACTGGCTCCAAACTGACCTGCATACTGTAACTTTTTTGAATGCCAAGAGGAGTAGGAGTAGGAGCCTGAAGAAAAAGTGGCCAACACATTAGAGCACAAATAAATACATATTACATATGTATGTTTCCTCATGTAAATGATGATAAATAGATTTAAAATACTGGTAGATAGCTCACTCTATCCAAATCAACATTCTCAGATGTCACTTTAAAACGACCCTTTTGCTGCACAAGCGGAGGCTTCGATTTATCATCAAGATCATCGATAAATGATGCTGTGGCAGAAAATACTCAACTTAACAAACTATATACTCATCATAGGATTAACAAGCCTATTTAGGCAAAATATTCTGCAAGAAAAAAAGAATGTAATAAAGATGAACACTATGATTACTACGCATGCCTGATGATTTTGTTGTGTCAATTACTAGCGGTGTTAACCCTCCATTGCAGTTTCCTATGCTTTGCAGCTGATTTTGGGGCTTGAAACTGATATTTCACATGTATAGTCAGATCAAAGTCTAAACACAAGAAAAGAGACAAACAGATTATTACATATATAATGTGATTTATGTGCTGGTGCTCACAAAAGTACTCTGAATGTGTCTCAATGCAGAAGTGAAATGTTTAATGAGAAGAAAACTCTCCTGCAAGTAGAAATACAAAGGCCATTCTAGTTAGACCTATTGGCAGATGGACTGACTAGTATAGAGTATTAATAAAGGTCTCCTTATCCTTTGTACCTTTCTTCTAGTTCATTAAAAAATTTTGAGAAATTTATAGCCTGCATATATGATTTCTTTGGCTTTTTAGATGAGACAAAATACTTTCTGGTCTTCTACTCAAAGGACCTCAAATTCTGATGCAAAACTTGTTGCATTTTTTATTAAAACGTGTAAAGAACATGGTCTTTATGGAAAAGCTACTGCCTATGCTATAATTGCAACCAACTCAAGCCGTATCCCCTGCAAACATCATCCACCGGGTGTGCACATGCAGAAAAATGATATCTTGATTTGAGAAATTCACATAACCAAAATTACAATCATATGTTTGCAATTTCAGTTCTCCATTCGATACAAATAGTGTAAGATGAATAACAAATATCAATATCTATTTGATGATTATACAGATCAAGGAAGAACTTTTACATAATAAAACAAGAACAAGCATAAAGATTAACTAGTTCAATGAAATGTGCGTTGATGTTAACAAAGTAATGTATGACGGCATCTAAATAATAGATTAATTGGGTAATTTACATAAAAATGTAAGATGTAACAAACCTTTCTGCTTTTGCCAAGGGAAGAACTTCTGACGAGCATGAACTTGTAGAAGGCTTTCGATCGTGACAACCATGTAGTGCATTTTCTAAATGATTTTCATCGATATCTGATCCACAGTTTCCACTAAAACCATTTCCCATCTCACTGTGGTGGAAATGTGAGCCATTCTGAGCATTCTGTTCACTTGTCCCAGCAAATTTAAGATCATTATCAGAGCCATCAGACTTGGTTCTGAAAGAAAGACACTAAATTTGTCATTGTCAAAAGGTATTTTACAAGCAGGAGTTCTGTAGTGTCAAAACGAATCTACACCCTAACAGTGGCTTATATGAAAAAAAGATAAAAGAGATCTTGATGCTACCTCAAAATACATATGGAAGAAAGTAAAGATAAGATTACATACTGGAATAAAGTTCGTGATAATCAAGTTGCCATCTACAAAAACATGAAGAAAATTGGGCAAACCTTCTTACACATTACCTCTGATAAGTTGCAGTTTTATCAGGTGATGAGAGATTTGATTTATTATGCGGTGGTGCATTTTCCTGGTAGTGTCATATCTTGTCAGAAAGCAGCTGATGTCGGAACAATATAACACAACCAACTATGAAGGATTTGTACTTACAAATTCATCATCCTCCTTCAATGAAAGACTAGAAGAAACGGTCATGACTTCTGGCACTCTTTCTTGCAATGCATCAATCTCAAACAAAGAGTTTTGGAATCCATTTGAATCTTTGTTGTCCTCGTTATCTGGAATCTGACAATGAAGCATGGAATTTAATACAATAATCCGTCAAAGTAATCATATTTAAGGATATAAGTTTAAATGCTTACCAAGGAAGCCTGAGCCTTCAAATCCTCAGTATCAAAATTCCAACCACTGATTCCTCTTTTGTACTCATTCTATGCAAAGGGAAAAGAAGGCAACAACATTTTAGACATCAAACAGAACTACTGTTAAATAAATAATAGATATGACATCATGAATAGTAGAACATCACAAGGTTAGCATTGACATCTATTAATAAAAAAATTTATGGCCTATTAGATAGCATCAATATTTCTTTTGTCAACAAACCCTTTAACTTTTCCTAGAATACAATTTTTTCTTAATGGTATAACTTGTTTCACCAACACCATTTTTTGCCTCGGCATTTAAAGCAAAGAACTGACTGGACATTTGGTTCAGAAAAGGCAAACATGCACATTTGGAAATTAACGAAGCTTAATTCTTTAAAGCAATTCATCATATTTATTATATATATATTTATACACTTTTATTTTTTGGGCTTCAATGATCTATATAAAGAATTATCAGTTAACTTTGTTAAGGATATGAAACTCCAACCTGTGATATCTCCTCTTTTTTGCCGTAAGGCATTTTCTTTTGTGCAAGCAAGTCTTCTTCCTTTTCCTATAAATAACCACAATGTCATCATACAATATACCTAAACTAAAAAAATATTGGCAAGCTACAACAACAGAACTAGTAAAACACAGCTACCTTCAAAGCTTGATGGCGATCACCCAGAGTAGGCAAACCCTCTAAGATCTTCCGCACAATGTAATCCTGGGACCTAGCTTGCTTGAAGAAAGGTTGCTTTAATAGCTTTTGTGCAGAAGGCCTTTTTGACGGATCTTTTACCAAGCATGTAGCAATCATATGTTTGAAAGCCTAATAGAAAGTACAATTTGTAAGAAAAGTTAGATATTTGTTCATATAAAAAGAACATAGCTTGCATATACAGCAGTCGTAATACCCTAGAGAATTTCTTGTCTCTGTCATAGTCAAGGCTTGGAGGAGCATTTTGCAAAGTCATGAGCAAAACCTGAGAAGTGATCAGTTATTAATAATTATCCAATTGGAACTATGGACAGAATATATTATTTTTGCACAGAAAAACTTGCACTTGGAGATTCTTGATTAATCCATATCAGTTGCACCGACATGAAAAAACTTTTCACTCATCTGTGCTAGGCATCATTTTGCAACCAAAATCCCTTTCTTTCAAAAACTCAATGACAACAACAAACAATGACATCTGAGCAATATGGGATCAGCTATATGAATCTATTCCTATTACTAGAGCTCTATAGAAGGCAATATCTCAAGTTAAAGCAAGTTCATTCAAGTCTATTCCGATTGTTTCTAGTAAAAATCTTCTTAGGTCTCTCTATCTCCTTGCACCACTAAGACTAATTGATTTGTCTTGTGTAACCACAACACTTTGTTCTATGTAAATATCATCTCATCTTAGACAATTCTCACTCATTTGGACCTCTAATGGAGTTGAACAAATCATTTATTTCTAAGTATATCATTATTTCCTACCTTTATAAATTAGTTATATATAGAATGGTCATTAAATAATCTCCATCTTTCCTTAGTTTTCATATTATTAGAAAGTATCCTTTAGTTTTTATCCTTTATACACCAAAATTACATAAATCTCTAGTCTTTCTTTATTTGCTTTAGTAATCCAAAAAATAATTCTTCCCAACTTCAGCACCTTAGTAGAAAACTTTCATAAGCCTTGTATTTTGACACACCTATAGTTTTTCTCTCTTTTCCAGATGCTATATATTTTATAAAGTTCCCTCATTTTCAAAAGCATGATCACTGATAGTGATTGTCTTTTATTCTTTATTATACTACTACCAGCTCTCTCTTTTCTTTAGAGTCTCTAAGAATCTTTTTTGTCATGCTCTTAAACTTCGCTGCTACCAAAATTCACATGATACTAATATTGCTACCATCCAAGCTCCAGACCTCCTCTTTGTTTTGTCAGAAATTAAAAAAAAACAAAATAGGAGGGAAGAAAAAGGAGACCATGGACAGATCAAAAAGATGGAAGTGTTGGAACCTTGTGAACAAAAATTTCCCAAAGTTTAGGATGACTGAAGTAGAAAGCCAAATCTATGGCAATGTATACCTTCAACGGAGGGTATTTTGAGAATGGAGCATGACCATGAGCTAGCTCCAAAGCAGTAATTCCAAATGACCATATGTCAGCTCTGCCAATAAGTTGTAGAAAGCATTTGCAGTGAGAACACACCACACAAAAAACTAAATAAAAATATATAGAAGTCAGGTGGCCAACTAGAAATCTTAATCATGCATTAATAATTCATAAAAAGCATTTCTAGTGAGAACCATCCATGCAAAAAAAAGAAAAAAATACAGAAATATTGGTAGACCAACTTGAAATCATAACCATGTAGCTGCTCCATCACCTCAGGAGCCATCCTATTTAACAAAAAAGAAATATAATGTCAATTGAAAAGCCCTTAGCCATAATTGAATGAAAAAATAGTAAAAATAACAAACAGACTATCAAAAAAATAAGTAAAAGATAGCATATCCACCAGCAAGGTGTTCCCACGAATGTATTCCTTGTGCGCTGTCGGTCACCTGAATCAAAGAGGCAAGCAGAAACCCCAAAATCTCCTAGTTTAACACCACCTCGTGAATCAACCAAAATGTTTCCAGCCTATAGAACAATGTCAATTAAAGTAATAAGCAGTGCACATTAACAATTTCAGACTAAGACAAGGTTAGAAAAATGTTATGTTCAAATGAAAAAATAAATCCACAATGAGATTCAGACAACGTTCTTAAGGTGTGCAACAACTTTTAGGATACATCAGTGATGCTACTTTGTTATATTTATACAATTGCATAAAAGCACAACTCAAAGTCTTAAAACGAACCTAGTTTGGAAAATCTATCAAGGATTGCATGTTTACTAATGATTCTGATAGTATAGCTTCTGGTATTGACACATAACTAATCTTAAAATGAGTAGCTTGTGTTACTTCTAGCTCTATGCAACCTTATCAACATAATGTTATTTTTATCATGCCTCGCTTTCTCATGACTCATTTTCGACAAGCTAGAAAGGTAAATTATGTCAATCCACCGCACAAATTTAAGAGGACAAATTACATGTCAAATGAAGAAATCTATTAAATAGTCAATATACAGACTTTACAACTAAGCATTGTGATCTATCAATTGTTGAAAGCAAGGCATACGCATTAGGCTGCCCTTGATTACAAAGAAGCGACTTTGCCTTCACTTGATATATCACTTGGGTAGCTAGCTGTTGCTACAACTTAGGTGAATAGTCTTTGACTAACATGTCCATAATGTATTCAAACTATTCTTTAAGATAAGTACCAATTTACCTTCACATCACGGTGTATATGCCCATGACGATGAAGATATTCCAAGCCTTTCAGTACTTCACGTAATATGGTTGCAATTACAACTTCCTCAAATCCATTGGGATAGACAGACTTCATTATATGAAGACAAGAGCCACCAGCCATGAAAGGCATAACAACCCACAAGTTGTGATCATTTACGAAAGAACAATGTGCCCGGAGAACATTGGGATGGTCTATCAAGATCATAGTCTGTGCCTCCCTGGTGATGTTATTCTAACAAAAAAATAAACAAATAAATTAGATAGAAAATAAGACAAGAAAAACATTCTAAGACAGCACATGACAATTCTACCATATGCTTAATTTTTCAAATTACTCAACTCAGGAGCATTATTAATTATTACCTAAACTACATCAAGACAACAATAGTTTAGCAAAGCGAATATATGATACTTGGAGTATATTTGAGTCACATTTTCAATTATGATAGCAGCTGATAGAATAACTTTCAGTCAAACAAGTACAACGAAAGAGCAGTTCTTAAAGTTGACTACAGCAATACTTTAAAATCGACTGCAGTTCCATTTACTTCAATTGCCTTGTTACAGTAATTTGTCTGCCTGGGAAAAAAAGAGACCAATTTGCAAACCTCAAAGGTTTGTATAGTGTGATATGAATAAGCATAGAGTGATGGTCCTACAAGAGTTTATTAAGACATCAGTCTCAGAGCATGCTGGTGATGTAGCATATAGGGTATGGTTGATATCATCTCATGGGTCAACAACAAACAACAAGAACTAAAACTCCATACCAAATGCCTGCGTCCTCTTCCTTAACAACATGATATACAGGCAGGTGCACACCACATGGGAAAAAAGTATAGAAGCAGCAAAGATGTAGACACAACCCCCACATGGAACAGAAAGGACAGAAGATCGTAAATTGAAAATAGAAAAAAGAAAACATCTGTCAGGGATGCCATTAAAGAAAACAGAACCATTAAAGGACATAACAAAAATAATAACCTAAAGAATTAATGATAAAAATGTCCCACTAGGCACTTCTTTAGCTGAAACTCAAAAAGTTCCTTCTAAGCATTTGTTAGGGTGAAACTCAAAATTTCCTTCCAACAATTGTTTCCTTTACTTTTTTATATTACAACTGTCCTCTGTGTTAGTTTGTCCTAAAAAGACAACATATAACTACTGCTTATGCATCATTTAGTATGTCCACAATGAGAAATCTTATTGTTAAACCAACCACATCATTGTACACCCAGATCTATGTCCTATTACTTCGGTTTCATTTTCGACATTTGTGAATGTTACATGTCATGCTTAAGATTAAGAAGGAAACAAATAAATCAAGCTCAAATCACATTTACAAGCATTTTGTATGTCTCATCTGAATATGCATATAAAGGCAAAATGTCTTATAAGGAAATTATGAGAGGGAAAAGATCATTTTGTAAGAAGAAAACAGCATGATGTCCACATTTTTTAGCACATAATGTTCACCTGCCATGGCTCATGCATGTTCTGATCACTTCAGCTTACATATTAAAGTGATTACATATGAAGATCATCAACAAAATTAAACAATTCCATCACATAGACATTTTCCATCTCTTTTTACAGAAAAACTCGACAGGTTCTCTCTAACTTCCATCATCTTTTTTAAGCCACTCGTTAGTTCCCTCTAATATCTCTCTCGCTGAGATGAATCCTAAAATCTCTCTCTCGTTACAAGGCACAAGTTCAACCCAGAATCGAACAAATTGCATAAGTATCAGAAACGTTATATACATTACAGGTCGTATAGAATTTAATAAGATTTGAACTTTGACCACATATAAGTTGTTCTCTTATTAATATATTTGAAGCAGTGACTCCTTTTATGTAAACATAGACATATATACAAGAAAAGAATTGAATTAGTCACTAGATATATACCATGATAGCTGTTCACATACCGTAACAAAAATCTACAGAAATTTGAATCACATACCAAACTTCAATATATTCCTTATATAAAATCATACCAAAAAAGGACGGAAAAAAAAAGCGAAATTCAGCTGAAATCGACCACCACACCGCATACCAGATCGCTGTTATTCCTCTCGAAATCGAGAATCTTGGCCGCGACGATCTCATCGAAAGGAACGCAAAGCGCTCGATAGACCTGCGCGCTGACCCCCTGCCCCACGGCCTCGAACAGCTGGTAATCTTCAACGCGGATAGGGTACTTCCTCCTCTCCATCCTCCCACCGAACACCGCTACCAGCACGACGAATTCAAACCCTAAAAGAAACCTGTTGCGAGATCCAAACGCGCCGCGGAGAAAAAAATCGTAATGACGATGGATGAACTCGACCGCGCGTGTGGTTCGGATCGGTCGAGAGCAGGAACCGGCTGGATGAGAGAGGGGAGGAGGAGCGGTCAATAGGTGGTGGTGGAGGAGGAGGAGGAGGAGGAGAGATCGAGGAGGGTTTCTCGTGACGGAGGGAGCGACCGCGAGATTTGGGCGCCTTCTCTTTCTGCACCGTCCCCGTGGCAGTTTGTATGGGAAAAGCGCGCCACATGGGTGCAATCGGGAGCTCGGTTCCCTTTCCGGCCTTTTCGCAGTATACATTTATTGGGCCCCACGATTGGTTCTCCATTAGGATTACTGGTAAACATTGGGTAGTCGGAACAACGGTGGCAAAATGTTTGATCTCCACCCTCCAACGGCCGATCTTTTCGGAACAGAAAAGACTCTCGAACTCGAACGGGTATTACCCAACACCTACTCACGTTACGCCTGGAGGCAGTTCGAGGCCCCACATGGGACCCACCTGTCGAGCTACCGACCTAAGGATGCTTGACGGCACGGGTGTGTCGAGAAAGGATGGAAGAAAAAGTGGTTCGGATCTTAGAAATCCCGTGTACATCTCGGTTTGGGTCCCGCGTGGGGCCTCCCCCATATCATGGCCAGTTAAGACCGGTAAAGCCATTGCGTCTTCCGCTGGCAAGACGGTTGGCCGCAGCTTGGCTGCTTGCCTTATACGGCACATCTTTCGGAGAGACGGGCCCACCCGTGCATCGTGCCACATGGCCTGACATGGATACGGTTGATCAAGTATGATGAACGATCGAGATGATACACGAGATCTGGTCCATAACTACGCTATTGTTCTCTGGTCTCTTCCTTTGTAATTTTTATTGGACATTATCTTATATGTTCAAGAATCTTTGAGCTTTCCAGCGAGGGGAGTCATTATTGCCTCATCTTTACTTAATTCTTACTCTTCACTTACCATAATGTCTGCATAATGACCCAATGATTTTGCTTACAAGCTCAAATTTAATATAGCGTCAGCTAAAAAAAATCCTTGATTAAAATATTTATTACAATAAATTCTCGAAAGACATCACCTATTATGATAGATCCTTTGTATATTGAGACATCCTAATCAATCGATCAATTGATAGAGGAAAGTTAATTAATACCATTTAATACATTGCATATCATTTAATGCCATAAACGAAAGTTAATTAAAAAAAACAAAGAGGAAACCTCACTTGGAAAATATAAGAAGAGAGTGCTAAGGGCACGAGTCAGGCTCCCACGTTCTCCTCTATCAATTGATCTTTCCTAAGGAAAGCACGAGTCAGGCTCTCACGATACAAGAAGAGAGCACTAAGGAAAGCTCAAGTACTTTGATTACAAGAAAGTGGGAAGAATAAGAGGAAGGTTTAAGATGATAGTGAATGCTTAATAATCAAAGTTTCTAGAGGGTCACGATGACCGATGAGAGAGGGAAATATCTCAAGAATTAGTGCACACATGATCTTTAAGCAGAAATTTTGTTATCCAACTCGATCATGGTTTTTTTTTAAGAGAATATCGAACATGATTTTAGGTAAAATGTTGAATTTACTCATCAAGATTTGATAAAATTGTATTGAGAACATACTCGTAAAAACCTCTCTAAAGCTTAAGTTAACGTAGGATTCAAATGACTTATTAAATATCAAATATGTAGAATGATTAATTTAGATTAAAATAAATATAATATAAGATGATCTATGTGATATATTATATCCTTTGTTTGATGCACCTGGGGTTTTATTATGACGGAGAGTCGTTAGAGAGTAAATTATGATCGGAAGAATCAGAGACATAATTATGGATATAGAACTCACCTGCTTGTTTAGGAAGGTGACTTTATTTTCAGTCTCAACGCCTTTCCTTTCCACCTTAGTCAAATTATTGTTGAGCGTGTCTCGCTTGTTTATCAAGGCTACTACTATAACGGATACGTCTGGGACATAAACTATTAATATCGTCATAATATGATGATTCTACAAGCATAAAAGAAGATGGAATCAGTATCAAAGACAAATATGAAGACATTAAGAAGATGAGGGATTCGACATTTACCATATCAACATGCTTATGAGTGTACGAGATGAGATCCTCGTTTGGTCTCAGATACAGGTCCCATGCCACAACCCGAAGAGCAATAACGCATAGTGGCTTTTTGTGGAATGTCGTATGACTGATTCATAGAATTAATCTACTAGTTTAATTGGATGCTCGGGCAAGTCTCCTATATCTATATATATATATATATATATATATATATATATATATATATATATATATATATAACACCTGGCCACATTTCAATTTGGAGACAATCAATCTATACATGACAACTTCGTGAGTATCCGAAAGTATCCTATCCTTTATGTTTTATGTTCACATTGCATTGGTTCATTAACATGAAATAAGTGCACGATTTTGCTTAGATTACTTATCTTATTTAAATTCATGAATTCTACTTTTATCACTTCCTTCCATATATTCATTTCATTAATGTAAGTCTTCCCAAAATTGAGACATACGTGTGTGTGTTGACAAAAAGATTTGGGACGTTATTATTCAGTCATAAAGAAAAAAGAGTATCGTCCCAATATCGTTGATGGACTTGCAAGTTCTATCAGTTCTACAACTCCTGCAAAGACGGAACAACTGATATCAAAATATAAAACGCATTGATAAAGATGATTGATAATCTTATGATCCTATCTGAAATGATACTAAAGACATGCACGAAGGCATGGCTAGGCAGAAAAAAAACGAGTTGAGAATGGGTCAAGATAGTGTGCATAAATCTGAAATACTAGTGATGCAAATGATCATAAACTCTACTACAAGAGCTAAAAGTAATTAACAAATCTTGAAATACACATTTAATTGTCACATCTAAATCTTTTGAGCTTACATGTTAGTTTGCACGTTAGACTTTGTACGAAGATTCTTACACATGAAACTTCTTGATGGTTTTGAAGTGGTCTGTTCTTCAACATGAAAGGAATGAGGTTGACTGCCTCCCAAATTCCTTATGTAATAATTATTTCCAAAATCCAATCTTTTATAATTATTATTATTATTATTATTATTATTATTATATTCTTTTACACATATAGAGTAAAATAGTTAACCACGATCATCATTGATGACAAAAAATATGTTGGAATAATGATGAGGACTTGACACAAAATAAATTCCATATCTGACGCAATCCATGAGAGGGACTCATTTACTACTTCCTTTTATCACTCGTAGGCTCAAATCTTAATCTGTTTCTTTCGTCGAATCTTCTGTCACTTATGATTAGACCACCATGAAATATCCACCAACAAAATTCACATTTGCCTCATCCACTTTATCTTAATATAGATATTATCATTGTGTTTAGCTCCCACCTGCACCATGGAACAAAAGGCATTGCACTTACAACCAGCCTTTTGTAATGTCAATTGAGACCCAAAGTATATAAGTAACATCTTAGCATCCATTCCCAGTAACCCATTAAGAACCTCTGTTGCCTTCATCTTACTGTATACCTTTCAATTGTAAATCCCACAGGTACTACATTTAGCTCAAGGCAAACATGCTTGGAAGAACATAGGCTAACAACTCCACTCTAAACAACAGTGGAGAAACTAGCACCACAAGAAACTTGAAAAATGTTTATGATCATTGCAAAGATGTGACACAACAATAAAATGCACAAGTTTACCTTCCATTGCATAATATTGTTACACATAACAGTAACACCTCAAAATTACCAATCTAAGGGAGAGAAACATTTAGCTTTTGATAAAAAATCTCACAGGGCACAATCATGCTTTAGTGAAAAGTAAGCTAATTAGCAGATCAAAACTCAAGCTAAGAATGCTATTGCAATGTCCTTCTTACTTATTGCTAATAACAATCAATAGTTAAATGATTCCGCAAAAACTTCAGCTTGAATACTCTCCATGACATTGAAGAATTCTTACAATCAGTGCAAGATATATTTAACTTCCAATCTACATTATGCTTACACATAGTTGTGTAATGAAAACAGATACATAACTTACAATTGGAAGAAAGAAGAAAAAGCAGCAGACTTGATGAAGAATTCACAGAAATCACACTTACCTGATTGCCTGAGGAGCAATCTATAACAAACATTTAAAGAAAGTAAGATGCAGGGTTGAGTGTATGCACAAGAAACGGGCTGCATACGGTCCGTAATGGGTTCAATTGGGCCTTACGAAAAAAGTAAGAAAATATTGAGCAAGTCTACATAATGGGAAAGCCCAATTTAGGCCGATTATGGGTCTCGATATGCCCATTGAGAATTGAGATAATAACCAAATGATTTTGAAACCTTGTTATACCAAACTCGCAACAGATGAAATAAACTAACACACTCAAAAATAAAACAAAAACTATGAACAAGAATCCAAGAACCACTTCCAATGATTGCTTGCAAGAGACAAGATTCATAGCATACTCTATAGAACTACAAACAAGCATGGCAGGAACAAGAATGTAATTAGAAAAGCAGTTTTCGCATACCTTCCAATATTCTTGATGCACTTGTTAGTTCTATCAGTTCCACAATACATGCACAGCTACACAAAATTCGCTGCAAAAGATGAACAGCTGATATCAAGATTCCGAAAACATTTTACATATGAGAAAGATGATCGATATTCTTATGATCTTATCTGAATTGTGATATTAAAAATATGCACAATTGCATGGAGAGGCCGAAACAAGAGTAGCTGAGAATGGGTCAGGATAGTTTGCACAATCATAAGTAGTCATTTCTGCATTAAATGTGGGACATAAAACCTTATGATGTAATGATCATTAACTCTAAAACAAATCCTAAAGACAATTACAGAAATTTGAAATACACATTTTGTTGTCAATTTTAAAATGTTTAGGCGTATAAATTAGTTTGCATGTTAGAGTTTGTTGATGCAGGAAATGCCCGAGCAACAATTCCAATGAGGCTGAAGACATTTCAGGATAGCAAAATCAATTCCAGTGAGGCTGGAGACATTTCAGGGTAGCATACTCAACAATTCCAATGAGGCTGAAGACATTTCAGTATAACATACACAAGTTTTGATTCTCTGAAGTCCATTCAACCTGCAAGCAAAGTGACGCCTTCTTACATGCAAAAGAAATGGGTGAGTACCAAACCAATGGTAATCCTGATC